GAACAAGAGGCGATGGGGTTTGGGGACGGGAGAGAGATGAAAGAGGCGATCGGGTTTTGTAAATATGGTTTATAGATTTACAGGAATATCACTCTGTCATGATCATGAAAGAGAACTAGGCATTGAGGGGACCACTGTGTACCCCTTTAAACTCTGCAACTTCACCTCCGAAATCCTAAAACATCTTTTTTTTTTCTTGGATCTTCCCTTACATCTTCCAATCATGTTTCTCTTCTCTCTCAGCGTCCATCTTCCTCTCTCTCTCTCTGCCATTTTTCTCACCTGAGAGACAAGTCTTGGGTAATGGAACTCTTTCTATCTCTATTGTTCTCGTAATCTATATTGTCGAAGCAAATGGACAGCATAGTTGGCCGCAGCCTTATTTCAACATAAGGGTTGCAGCCTTATCAAATTGCATCCTTTTCTTAAATATTAGTTTTAAATTTGTCTTTATAATTTTAAGAAAGGAAAAGGTTTATACAGGGTTGTATCTTATTTTATTTAGATCCTTTGTTAGGTTGAGGAGGCTAAATACCAAAATTTAATCTCGTTAAGGCACTTCTCATGTGATATTTCTTAGAAGGAGCATTACATTCAGGGGACCACCAACTCTTTTGAGTTTACATATGCCAATTTTTGTAACATCCATGTCACGATTAATCTTCATCAAGTGAAAGTGGGTCGATGCATTTATTGCATTGATCAAATTTAAAATTCAAAAGAAAATTTTTCGAACTTTATGACAGACCCAAGTGATAAGAGTTCACATTGGATGGTTATAAGTTATCTCATTGTGTACAATCCCATATTGTATTTTCAAAATTGAATATGTTAATAACATGAAAAAAGTAATTTTTGAACATAACCTCGTACCAGCTATCCAAAATATTTCTTTGGTGACGTGTTGTTTCCAACGGAACTCCCCGTTATATACATGAAATAGCGATTCAACCGAAGAATTTTATCAATTTTGAGTGATTCCCCATTTGGATTGGGCAATGGTGATCCAGATCGATGATTTTTTAAATATTGAACAAAACTATAAACAACATAGAAACCCAAAAAAATTGAAAAATATTATAAAAAATTATATTTGGATTGACAATAATTCAAATCAATAAAAAAAAAGGCAAAATAGAAAATTCTAATACATGATATGGAAAACTCATAAATCATAATCTAGAAATCACAATTATATATAAAATATTTATATTTAGATTTAGTATAATGATATAATTTTTATGATTATTTATATTCCCAACTTCGTACCTTAAAACTCAACTCGTCAAGGTGCTAAGTTGGAGTAGCTTAGTTGGGTCCGATTTAACTCGGCCGAGTTTTAAAACTTTGAGGCAAACTGAGAGGGAGTGAGTGGTAACCCGGCTTTGAGTCCCTTGGTTCCCCTCATTAACTTTATGAAAAGTCTGCAGCTAAAGGTGTGGAGGGATACAACCCTGTTATTGTAGTAGGGTTGGAGTTCGCTAAACATATTTTGGTTTGTAATGTGAAGACAATTTTGGAAAAATTCTATTTGACTTCTTATATTTAAAAATATTTATGTATATTTTATATTTTATGCTCGAGTTCAATTTTTTCAATTTTTTTTTTCCAAATTACCTGTGGTTGACTGGGGTCTTTTTTTCTCCATGAAATGCCGATTTGGACATCGGATTTTCATTCCATAATTTTTGTAACTGGGCCGGTTCAACCGGTTGAACCAGCCTTTCATTGAGAAAAAAGACTAGGTGACCAAGTTTGGCCACAAATGTCCAAACCCACCCACTTGTCAAATTTTTTGAGGGAAAAACTGCTTTAGATTTGTAAATTTTTCGAGTGAAAAACAGTTTTAGATTTGTAAAAAACCAGTGGCTTGGATAGGACATTGAATGTCCAATTCGCCCACTTGTTTTTGCAGTGAAAGGTTAGTTGTGACATTGGTTGTTCGGAAAGGTCTAATTACAAGAAAATTGGGTTTGGATCAGGTCCTTAACTCTAAAATAAGACCTAGTTCGGACATCTAATATTTGAACCGGTGGTAATTTGTGAATAAAAAATTTCAAAAATTAAAACTTGAGTGTAAAATAAAAATATATAATTTAATTTTAAATACCAAGAGTATGATAAGTTTTTTATGCAATTTGCCCATTCAATAATACAAGTAGATATGTACTCTAGAAATTAGACAAAGCTACCCAGGCAGAAAAATAAGTGAAGGGACCTACCCAGGCAAAAAAATAATGTGGGCAACCCTAGAGGGAGGGAGCCTACCTCTTCCAGTATTGGGATATATAATAAGAGAGACACAAACCATGTCATAGCATTCATGAGTGAGAGAGGGGGCAACCCTCTCTCATTGGGTTTCTATGAAAATGGAGTTACTACAGGGTTTCATTGGGAATTTTCAAAATAGATCATATTATTTGGAGATCATTATGAGTAAGCATCATGTGAAATACTTGGAGAGAGTGAAATAGGAGAATCCTTGAAGATAAGGCTACTGATTTGTTAATCTTGAAATCCAATATAATAAGATTTGTTAATCTTGAAATCTAATATAATAAGAATGTTGGTAGACTGGATTTCAATGAATAAAGATTGTAAATTCATTCTGAAGAGCCAGATCATCCTGAATCCCTTGGAGGTTGCCCAATTGTACTTCTCTAGACGAAGGCATATCTTCCTTTGGTCCCCTCCACATATGGGCAGTGTTAAACTCAATTTTGTTGGGAATCTGGGCCTCGCGATTTGGAGAGCTCATAATAAACCATGATGGGCTGATTCTTATGTTTTGTTCTAGGCCATGTGGTATTGCTGCATTAGTGAGGTGGAAATTGGGGGTTTGTTAGAAGGGCTCAAATTATTAAGGGGAACAGAGTGTGGTAAAGCTATTGAGGGGGCCTCTACAAATATTGTAGCTTGGGGAACGGCGGAATCTAGATTCCCTTGGAGGTTAACGTCAATTTTCATGGAGATTAGAGAGCTTTTGGTGTTACAATCCCTTGTGCTATATTACACTTTTAAGGAGTCCAACGTCGGGGTAGATTCTATTGCTAAAAATGGTGTTCAGCACGATTAGTTGGTAATCACTAATTTTGCCTAATTGGCATGTGTCTCTTTGCTTTTTCTTCTTCTCTTGCACTATTTTTGAAAGTTAGTAAAATGTTAATATTTTTTTTTTTAAAAAAAAAAACGAGAGGGGGCAACCCTGATATAAATTGAGTATGTATATTATGCTCCTACGGGATCATAGTTTATATCTACTTCCTACATTAGAAGATCTACTTGGGAGGGTTTCTTCAATTTGCAATTTTTGAACTACCTAATAATTATTAGGTGATTATTTGAATTTTAAAATTTTTGGCACTTTGATCTCACCACCCAAAAGTTAGAGGTCCTCGATGCAATCTTGAGACATAACTTTTTCCAAGTACATAAGGGGTGCAAGTAGAAATTTTTTTATTTGAAGAGATTACGTTCCCTAACCTTAGTTATTAAGATTAGAACCGGTTTCTATATGGCCAAGCCCGCATATGTAGAAATGCAGGCACATTAATAGATTTATTTTTGAGATGGATTTTAATATTTATGTTTTCAAGACATGTAATCTCTAACATGGAGATCATGAATATGAAAAAATAAGTAAATTTTAAAAACTAAAAATAATATTTCTAATAAGAAAACATTTGGGCCGTTATATATCCATTGTTTTTAGATGGAACACCTACTTGCATCCATCTTTAAGATGGACACTTTACACTTTCTGGATCGTATATGTAGAAATGCAATCCAGCCCGCATAATTGCAACACATTATCCAGACCGTCCATTTTCAAGATTTTCATATATTTATAGATATACTTGATTTTAACTATTTTGGAAGTTTAAAATTTTATAATTAGATATGAAAATAGATTTTCAGATATTTCTAAGAATTTTTTACACCAAAATTACATATTATGATAAAATTTGGAGGTACGCGTTAATTGGATTGTTTAAGTTAGTCAATGTATTGGAGATATTACATCTTAAAATTTGTAGTCCTCAAATTACTTTTACATCAAATTTTATGCAAGGAAGTAAATAAACAGTACACTCCCGTGAGAGAACCAAATCTTTTAGCCTCACATTCTAAGAGAAACAAAGAGCTTGCATGCTGTCATGTTCTAGAGAGAGAGAGAGAGAGAGATCTCATGTTCTAGAGAGAGAGAGATGATACCATTCAGAGAGAGGACCCACTGTGTCTTGACAGTGTTTTTTGGGTGAATTCTGTCTTCTCAGTTGGGCAACTCCCATAATTTCAAAAATCCATCACTATCTCCACGAAACTTAATATTAGAGAGAGAAAAAAAAACACTCATTCTATTTGGCACTTAAAACTAGAGAGTAGGGGTGGCAATGATTCGGGTATGGGTCGGGACGGGCTCGACTCGGATCCAAACTTGAATAGTATTCGAGTCTAGGTTTTGGACTTGGTTCCAAAAGTTGGACCTATACCTGTTTCGTGTCTGCGGTCTGGTCGGGTCCACTGCCACCTTCACTATGAGTTTTTTTTTTTTTGTTTTTATCATTTTCATACTCTCATATTATTGACAACAAAGTTACAATTGTTCACCATTAGATTTCAAACCGTCTGATTTGTTGGTTAACAGCTAAATATGACTACGAGTTCTTATTGTATTCCATTCTTAATACAACCAAATGAATAAGGTTTGAGGTATTTTATCTATGTACAGGTCGAGTCTAGCTGGACCCAAATAGTGTTCGGGTCCAGGTTTTGGATTTGGACCTGATATGTCATATCCAAATGTTGGATGCATACCTAGAGTGTGTCGGTTGCACCCGATAGGCCCCGGGTCGGTCCCGGCCCGTTGCCACCCCTACTTGAGAGATAGAAAGGTCTTCTCCCTATTTGGCGGGATATTGATACGTGATCCTAGAATTCGGCAGGGGCCCGTGTTTTTCTCTCTACAGATTCTCGTATTGCTCCGAATTGACTCCTCTCTTGCTGTCTCTCTCCCACTCCGTCAAGCATCTGCACTTTACTCAGAAGAGAGAGAAGGAGAGGAGAGAGAAAGAGGGGTGGCCCCCCAATTTCCTAATGGAGGACAGAAGGTCGTTTTGGACTCGCTTGAAGGCTCGATTCCCCACGCACCCCTCACAAGCCAAGCCACTGCACCATGGCTCGGGATCACACCGGGCCCAGGTTCGAGCCGCGTGCTCTATACTGTCACTTCTTCAAACCCATAAATTATTTCTCTCTCTAGACTTCCTGGTCCTCTTCCTCTCTCTAGTTTCAGTTCGAAAGACCCCACTATTAAATACTAGAGAGATTGCACATGTGCCTGCGCTCCTGTCCTAAAGTTTGAAAGTTTGGGTTCCCTTGCGATAGCAGGCTCTCTGAGATATTCGCCATGGTTGGTCATGGGGTAAAGGTGGTTTTGGGGTTGGTGTCTCTGACGTGGCAAATGCAGGCCGCCATGGCTGGTGAGTTCTCATTCTCTGTCATGCCTTGAAATGCCTCAAAGTTCATGGGTGGTTCTTTTTGCTGGTATTTGGTACTTCTCGTTCTGTTGGTTTTCTTTGTTTCTGGTGTTTTTTGAGTCGCCTTTTACTTGTTTTCATTGTAACTATGCTAGATTGCTTTTTTGTTGTGAAAATGGGTTTTCTTTTGTTTCTGGTTTTATTGGCTTCTCTGCTTCTTTGTTGACGTGTTTCGGGGGTTGGCTTCAGTTTCAGGGGCTTGAAATTTTGGTTTCCTGTTTAGCTCGTGCTTGTCACTGTTAATCTACATTATCATTGATTGCAATTATTGGGTAAGGAGAAAAGTTTTGAGTGGTAAGTGTTCTGGGAAATTTTAGGGCACGGGATTTTGGTAATTCTCTAGTTGCTAGTGAAGCACACCTCTAACCGTAGACGTGAGTTTGAACCTAAACTCATTGGAGCAATGTGGAAGAAAATAATGCCTCTGAGATAATAGTTTTTTTTGGTAGCAAGGTAGAATGGCTCTGACAGAACAATTTCTATCTAATGCATTGAATCTGTTCACTTTAGACATAAATGAAATAATTCTGAGAAATTTTGGCAGAGCAAGTCTAAAATTTGGTTTACATGTCTGCTGAATTTGGGTACTTTGCTCTTCTTATATTTAATTTCTTCCTCCATTTCCAGTCAACTTTGGAATTAGTTTGTCTGGGATTTGCTGAAATTTGACTGCATTTCAATTTTAATTACTTGAACTTTCAATAATCTTTGGACTTGAAATTCAGCAAGAAATTTATCAATAGTTTGATTGAGATTGAGAATATTACAACTGTTAATACAGTTTTGGTTTTACCTAAGGCCAGGGTTGGAGAATGGCAGAAACTTGCTAGAATTTAAAACCATGCTTGCTACCATTTTTTGCAACAAGATGTCGGGTATAAAGTTCACTCGCAAAATGAAGAATGTCAACTTGGTAGTTGACATTAATCACTTGCTCTTGGGTTTGAGGAGAATGCCAATTGAATATGTTTAACACTCTCAACTTGTTCATAATTAAGATGACAACACCTTAGAAGGCAATCTTTGTTTCAGATGGAGTAGGAGAGAAAACCCAGTGAAGCTTTGGCAAACAGACCTGATAACTCATTTTTGCAGAATGTAAATACTTCTTGTTCTTAAGGAAACGTATATATGATTGTAGGGAAAGGAATGTTAACGAAAGAATGTCTAGCAATTTTGGTAGAAGTAATCTACTTAAATTTTCTTAGCCGACCTCAATAATTGGGATAAAGCTTTTCATTTTCTTAATTTGTATTAATTTTTAGAATTTATATAATTTAATTAATTTTATTTATGCGTTATTTTATTTGTATTTGAATCCATTTTATTTTTCAATAGATTTTTCTTTATTGATGATGAATCTACTTGAATTTTCTTGGGTCCATGTAAATCAATAAACATCAAATTGTCTATAACAATCACCAACTGGGACTTAGAGACATATAGATTATTTATTTAATCGTTAATGAACAAAATGAAGAGCAACAACTTGTAAATAATGATCATTAATAAGTTGTTCTTGCATTTGGGTAGAATGATAACTTAATTATTTTAAAGCTTTTCAAATCTTTTGTAGGAACAAATGATAGTAGCTCATTTGACGAGTCAAGTCTTTGTTTCAAATGGAATGTGGGAGAATGCCTCGTGAAGCTTTAGCTCAGTAGAGTTGATAAAATATGTCAAAGGATTTTAAAACAAGGATTTTGAAAAGATTGACAATGGTTACAGAAATAATCAGCATAAAATTTCTTTTCCACGCACAAATTTTTAAACATTAAATGATCTTTCATAATCAGTAACCGGGGCTTGTAAGATCATGCGACCGTCACTAATGGAGAAATACAAAGTCGTAGTGATCTTTTTGCTTCATGATCTTTAACGTTTTCAACATGTGTTTTCTATTTCTTTTATCGCTATTTTAAACTTGGGTATGGTTTATCTAAGGTGTCCACCATAAACAATCCAAGTAAGGCGCACCTCCAACTCTCATCAAAAGATGTAATTTTGGTAGCAGAAATTTTAATGATGACGTGAAAATCTGCTTCACATTTAGTTATAAAATTTAAAACTCAAAACGTTGTATAGATCGAGAAGATCTACAAGATGAAAATGTTGATAATTGATGTGCTAGATGATGTATTACAAGATGAACCATTTTTGTGACTTTAAAATCTTTATTTTTTCACATCCGTTCAACTTAAGGTCAAGATGATCAATTAGAGGGTTTTCGGCATTGTAAGAACCTTCTTCGATGGAATTTTGAGACGAGCCTTTTTCCTACAGTTTAAGATACAGCCTTATATAAACTATCTCCTTTGATGCCTTGATGATTTGTTTATTGTCGGTTTTTGCACCATGCATTCTATTGAAACTGGTTGGTGTATGCACTGCTATATATAACCGTTCTCGTTCTTTTTCTTACACGGGTATGATAATCATGCTCTGCTCTGTGATTCATGATTCCACATCTAGTGTATTTGTAAAAAACGTTACCCTAGAATGTCCAAAATACCCTTTAGAGCTTAAATACTCTTGGTGATATGTTCCCAACCTTTGCTGTTATAAAGATATGACACACACAAATATGCGTGCGCACATACATACAAAGATTGCATTACAACTTAATATAGTGGCTAGCTTGGGGAGCTTCTTTATAATTTGTTATTCTTTCATTGTTTTGTAGAGAATTCCTGTTTCGCTTTCCACATTGTTATTAATATTATCTTAATGCATTTCTCTTGTCATTTCTTCCTTTTTGTCTCATAATAAATAAAATATTTATGTACATATGAAATGAAATCCATCATCTGGAGAAATGAATATATATTCGTAGTTTTCAACTTCACAAAGAAAAGGGGCACCCTTTTCCTTGTTTTAAGTGCAGGAGCACTTTATTTTCTTTTTAATTTATTGGATTAACAAACAACAACATTATTATTGTTGTGGTTGTTGTTGTTGTTGTTGTTATTATTATTATTATTAGTATTATTGTTGTTACTACTGTTATTTATTATTATTATTATTATTATTATTATTATTATTATTATTATTATTATTATTATTATTATTATCATGCAGTAACAGCAACAACGACAACAATAACAATAAGATCAACAACAACAACGATAATTATTATTGTTGTTGTTGTTGTTATTATTATTATTATAATGCAATAAGAACTAGCAATGGATCATCCAGTTCAAGACAAGGTGAGTAAATATCATCTTGGGTCAGGAAAGGGTTTTCTTGAGATGGATTGGGCCATGCAATGGTTTGAGTACTGTTTCTGGTCCTCTTTTAGTTTTAGGACAAGCCTGGGTTCTATTTTAATGAAAGCATAGGAGATATTTTCCTGTTTTAAGAACATTTACATGTGAAAATTTTCAAGGTAGGTGAAATCCAAAAATGCAGCATGCTCTCAAATGTCACACGGCTCACACCTATGTCAGACCATATTCTACTCTTCTCTACATTCTAGGTGTATTTTGGCATGAGTAAAATTGTTGGAAAAGTTTTCCTTGATTCTCAATATAGAGTATAGTGCATTCTTTGTCCAAAGGTTTCATTCCAATAATTTTCTTTGTCTAATGTTTATGGTACTGTTATCAAAAGTTACTGAATCTACCTTACTGTTGTCAAGTGAACAATTGTGAAGTGATACTAATGCTTATATGATTTAAAATGTTGGTTAGCTTCCATTGCATTAAGATAGATATCTTGTGATTTCCTGTCATTTAATATTCCTGTTTTAATGCCTAATCTTACTGGTTCATTACATCTGACTAAACTGTCATTTATAAGGGAATTGGTGCACATTAAAATATGTGTTCTTCATGTACATGGCATGCTGTATTCTTCTTAAAAATCTAAATTGTGTACTAATTGATTCTTTTTTAATGTGTTATTCATGTACATGGCATGCTGTATTCTTCTTAAAAATTTAAATTATTTACTAATTGATTCTACCACTCATGCAGATTGTCCTCTGGACTTGAGCGGTTCAAATTTCACACTTGCAGCTTCTATTTGCTCAAAAGAAGATAGGGGCAAATGCTGCCGGTACATTAATGCATTTGTTGCTGTCGCTATATCTCAATATGCAAATGTAACAAACCAACTTGGGGTTCCCCCAGAGTTATCTGATATTTGCCTACAATCTGTCTCAGAAACCCTAATACTCTATGGCATTCCTTCAAATGCAACTATCTATTGTGGATTGGGGTTGAAGATTCCGGTGAGCTATCAATGCAAAGGCCATAGAACAATTTTGGAAATGAGGCAGTCACCAATGTTTGATGATGTGGTCTTGAATTGCAAGATGCCCCTCTCAACTGAAGGCAGTTGCAGGAGGTGCTTAAATGCCAGTATTTTGTACCTTCATCGCCTTGTCGGAGCTGATGACAACACAACACTAAATACGTGCAGGGATGCGACCTTTGTAACTCTCACCAGCCAAGGTGACAATGTATCTACTAATGGTTTCGCCAGCTGTTTCTTTGGTGTTCAAGGGCTCAGTAATCAACAAGGTAGCTTTGATAATGTTTACTTTGAACTGCAAATCAACAAACAAAAGGACAAGAAAAGAAAACCTTTATTGTTGCTCTAAAAGTGTAAATAAATTCTGTTTCTTTTATGTGAATTGCCTGAGTTGGTTCAACTCTTTTCCTCAGAAAAAGGTAGTACTTGTGAATTACATCAAGATGGATGTCTATAGGCGTAATATAGTATTCCATTCTAATTTTGTATTTCAAATGATATTGTACAATTACATACATATTGATAAATGCTGCCATTTATCAATATGTATGTCCATTAGGGTTGATGATTCCTTGATGTTGTGGCATTATTACTCGTTCAATACATTACAAGAGTTATAGGATCAGACATCATAGACTACAAGTTATAGTTTATTTTATAAAATGCATCCTACTTTGTAATTTTCGGTTATTTATTATGATCTTACTTTCTACCAAAACTTTAAGATCGAGGGGCTCACTTTTGTGTCTTGTACCCTTAAAAAATTCATATTTCTTGTACCCTTCAAAAGTGCATGTGCTTTCCGGTTTCCTCTTCAAGCTCTACGGCCCATAAAGCAAATTACTCTACTGGCACGTATTTTTCAAAAGAAGTACGGTAGCTCCATAAAATACTGTAAGCTTTTTTCTTCCATTTTTATATCCAAAATGCCCTGAGAATTATTCTACTTTCTGAGCATGTCTGTTCTTTGTTGCTTCAATTCATTTTGCTGCTTTGTTAGTAAACTTATATGTATTTGAGCATGTCTCTCTCTTGTTGCTTTGAATTATTTTGCATGCTAATATATATATATATATATATATATATATATATATATAGGGTGTGGTTTGTATAAGCTTGTGACCTTAAACAATCCAAATAAGGTGCCGTATATCATAGGATGTAAATTTAGTATAAATTTTTTATCATAGGATGTAAATTTAGTATAAAAATTTATTAGATTGGCTGTATAATCCATTTTCATCTCTAATTATAAACTTTAGAAATGGTTCAAATCAAGTTGATCTATAAACATAGGAAAATCTTGAAAATGGTTGGTCTAGATAATGTGTTGCAAGATGCATTATTTTTAGGACTCGAAATCTTTATTTGTTTATATTTCATACATCTCGATGTCTAGATGATCAATAATAAGGTTTCCCAACATCAAAACAACTTTTTCCAATAGATTTTTGTGGTGCACCTTAATTCTACATTTTAACATTTTAAGGTTGCGACCTTATATAAACTTTTTTCCATATATATATATATATATATATATATATATA